AGGAAGTGTGGATCCAGAAGGACAGGGGTCCTAAATATTCTGTACTTGTGATTTTAGGTTCCCCTTTTTTTCTCTCAACCAAGAGATTGATTTTTAACACTGATTTTGAGATATAAGACTATGTTTGGCTACCCCTCTTTAGGTACCATCAACAATGCTCTTAGCCCAAACTGGGTGTTTTCTAAATGTTAACTGGGAGACTTGATTTAGCAAAACTACAGGCTTATAATAAATTTTCTTCAGGAATTTTCTAGAAACAAACCTAGGTCTGAGGTAGCCACCGAAAGGGGGACTATATATGTGGTTATTTTCCTTTTTGTGCTATGATCCCAAGTTTTTCTGACTCATTAAAGTGAAGGCTAGAGTGGGTAAGGAATAGAGCCAAGTGAGGAGGTAGGTGTCTGAGCCATGAACTATAATACTGCAAGGGGTTGTTTTTATTCAGGAAGCAGGGGAGGTTCCCGTCCTAGAGAGTCCTGCTCCAGAATCTTCACACCTGACTTGCGTGATGCACCCCTTCCCAGTAGCCCAGTCTCCTTCCTTCAGTCAAGTCAAAACGACTCATGTTCCTCTTTTCCCATGTATTTTTGCTTGTTAGCGTATTTCTTAAACGGATTGCATATTCTTTCTTTCCTTTCTGTGAAATGGTTGTTTTCATTTTGTTGTTGGATTTTTTTTTTTGTAACTTGGGACCACCAAGTTGTAAGGAGATGTTTTTACCTGCCAGTTATACCACAGGTAGACTGTCCAATTGAGAAGAGTGCATTGATAGCTGATACTTGTTTTTAAAAATAAATTAATCTTGGATGAGTTGTTTTTTTTTAATAGAACGTTAGTCTGTGACCACTAGTTGGACACCATCTCCCTTTTGAGTGACCTGTTTCACCAGCAGGCCTGTTGCTCCCCGTGACTAACTGTAAGTGCTTCTAATGGAATAAATGCTTTTTTACAGAACCCCATGCTGATGGGTTTTATTTAGTGTATATATAACATTCATCAAACCACCAGTCTCTGGCTTCTAGGATGTTCAGGTGACAGTTATTTTCCATGATTCTTTGACTATCAAGAGCAGAGTTAAACAGAATGGACCCAAAGCAAAAATTTTTTTAAGCGTTTACTCCTTCCCCCAGGAAAGTGCAAGACATAAAACACCAAATCAGAGGTGCCTGGATTTTTTTTTTTTTTTAATCTTTTGAAGGCTGTTGCCCAGTCCTTCCCTAAAAGAACTAACAGGACTTTTAAAAATGTCAAAGGCAGTGTGGCAGAGAGACTGTAAGGCAAAATTTAATTTTAGAAAAGATCCTTGGACCTTTTCCCAAAGAGGTTGAAGCACCCCAGTATGTCTCCTTCCGCTGGGGTCTGTACTTAGAGGGTAGAATTAGTAGGCTCGGTCTGAAGCCTTCACACAAAGCACCTGGGGCTTTTGTTTCACAGTGACTGAGTCTACCACTCTAATCCTTTAATAAAGGTAAGACTGGTAGGAAAATCTGAACAGCCTTAGCCTGTAGGTTAGAAGCTGAATTACTTCTAAGTCAGTAGTAAAAATTAACTTTGACACAAGGTAAATCATGAGAGTCAGTTTAGCCTTTTAGGAAAAGTATTTTGTCCCAGGATTCATTTTGAAGTCTTAATCTTGGCACAAAAGAATTTTCAATTTGAAATCCGTGTAATGAAAACCAGCTGCCCTTCAGACCCCATATATTCCATCCTTTACCTCCCTGCTTGCCCCCATCCCATCCCCCCCAAAAAAGTTTTAATTTGGGTCAACCTAAGGCAAGTTACATTCCTCACAACACTGCAAGATGTGTCCGTATATTCATCCTTTACTCAATGTGCAGGTGAGGGCTGCTACTGGAGAGCAGGTGACTCAGTCAGTGTTCCATTCCTCGGTGCATGGAGATCAGCACAGCCTGTGAAAGAGAATCCCACCTCGGTCTGATGGGTATTCTGCCTCCAGCCAACTCACATCAGCCAGTGTTTGTCGTTTTCACAGGGTGGGCTGCTTGCCAGGTCCATGGCGCACTCTTGTTGGGGTGGGGGGTGGGGGGAAATATGTCCAAAGGGTATGAGTGACCCTTTGCTAGGAAGTTTTTTTGTTTCTGGATTACAGATTCTGCCATAGATTTCTAAACAGCTCCTGCAAATTGAGAGAAAGAAAGATTACATTTCTACTTTCTGCAACTTGAAATTCTGTTGAAAGTTTATAATGAACTTCTGATGTAGTGTAAGCTGGCTTGGGGAGAGATTGCTAGTACCGTGTACATAAGGTCAAGGGTGGCTTTCCCCAGCAAATATTTGAGTGCCTCTTATTTATGGAACAGTGAATGGAAATCTATGTATTTAATGGGAGAGGGCTAGCTAACAATTTTGTCTGTCCAGGTAATTAACTTCACAGAAATAGCGCAATGCTCTATAGCTTCCATTTCTTTGAATTAATCATTGCCTTTTCCCTGTTGTATTTTTATAATCTTACCCACGTTGACAGATTATTTTTAATTATAAGATTGTCATTTCCGAAATATGTAAATCAGTATGTCTGGATAACACACAATAAAAGAAAATCTAAGTAAGTTAGGAAAAGCATCAGTTAATGACAGTTACTTGTGAGTTTGTATTGGAGATGTAAGTTTAACTGGGAGATTAAAAATAAAGTTGATGGGTATCTGTCTAGTAATGACAACTCAACACAGACTTTTGTTCTTGTGTTTAAAGTGGACTCTAAAACTACCAAGGACATGAGAGGATATTTATTGGGGGAGGGATCAACTGGATGATGGAGACAGTGTTTTGACACTTTGTTAAAGGTACAGTGAACATGGCATCAAAGGGATGGTATCTAGTGCTTCTCTGGATGAAAACAGCCTTCAGGTTTGCCAGCCACTCCTGCCTCAGATGACAGCCATTACATACTTCATATTCGGTGTGTTGTTGGCTTCACATGAATCAGTTGACTCCCCCTGCCCATAAACATCCTCCCTCGTCATTTTATGACTCAGATTCATTTGCCCTTCTTGATATCCTTTGTCATAATCTGAACTCTGATAACAAAACTGCCATTTTAGGAAAACCATCTGAGCAGCAATTGGGGTGGAAAGGCACAGCAGCAGAGTTCCAGTGGTAATTAAAAACACGTGTTGAGTCTTACTTGAAATCAAAGCACTTCAAGTGACCCCTAAATCGTCTGACATTTTGATGATGTGTCATTAGATAGCACGTGCTCCAAAAGACATTAGTGTGAGTTAGGAAAGCAGGATACTAGGGCCACTCCTACCTCAGGGGTCACCTTGAGACTGTGCCTCTAGTCCACCTGTCTGAGAAGTAGGAGCCTCAGCTTGTTCCAGGCTCTTGAGAAGCATAGCCCTTTCAACAAAAAAAAAAGAGAGAGCCATTTTCCATTTGTGTGTGGAAGAGTACAATTTGATAATCATTTCCTCCCTACCATCTCCCCCTCCACCAGAGTGAGATATGAGACGGGTGGCAGCCAAGACTGACTTGTAGGTTGACAACTCCTTGGCGAGGCTGCTCCTTAGCCGTTCTATCTCCTTGTTCTTCTGCTCCTGGAGCTGCACCCCACTCCGTAACTGCCTCTGCCGTTCCTCCATTTCCTCCAGCTGCTCCTGAAGGAGAGGACGAGGACATTTCTGAGGAGCCAGACCATCCAAGTGTGACATTTGATCAGTATCTTTGGTGAAGTGCTGCATTTGAGGGGAGGAGGATTGCCCGCTTCTAAAAGTTTCCTTTTAAATCTTATTAACCTGGTGAAGAGCTAGAGACGTTTCACATTCAACATTTCATACACATTTTGTTTCCTTCTGTTGCAAGCCCCTCGGTGCTCCATCACTTGTCCCCCTTCCCTCTGTCACCTTTCCAGCCATCTTTCTGTCCAGGCAGATGCCTCCCTTTGATCTTAAATGGTTGATGATTCTAACACAGATGACATAGTTCCAGGCTTGAAGGGTTACTAAGGACCCTGGAGGTGGGGGCACAGGTAGGGGGGGTTCCACAACTGACCAGTAAGCATGGTCATAAGGCACTTTCTTGCACGTTGAATTTTTAACATTCACAGCAGTATTGAAGCTACTGTTTGACCGGTTGGGAAACCAGTTCTAAAGAGGTTAAGTGTGCAAGGTGGTACTGCTTTGGGAACTGGCCTGAAAGGACTCTTACCTGTTAGACACAGCTTTTCAATAGAATTTTGGAAACGATGGATATGCACTCACAATCAGAACAAGAAATGCTATTGGGAAGATTTTTATCTCAGTGAGACACGGGTTCAGAACATGAGTGGGAGGTTCCTTGATGTCTCAAGCTCCTCTGTGTGTGCCAGTTGGTCTTAGATAAATGCATTGCTTGGTGTCGGGGGTCCTAACACTGGCTTATGTTTACGGGAGAGACACCAAGTGTGGAAGCTAATTTTTTTTTAACAGGCACATACAGGCTTTATTAGGAAGGTTGATGACTGTCATATGTAGTCATTTCCTGCATCCTAAGTACACAAAGACTGGGAACCTGTTCAAAAGACAGAACACTCTGCTCAGAAGCCTTCCAATTAACTCGTTCTGCCAAGACCAGGCTGTGATGCCCATTATCAGTGCGTGAGGGATGAACTTAGGAGGATGTCAGCAAGTCCGTCTCTGCTTTAGCTGCTAGCTGACATGAATCTTTCAGGGAGCTACAGGCTGGTGCTCAGAAAGCATAAGGGGCTTGTAAAAGTTCATGGGATGTCATTCCATTTTTCCATGGCCTTTTTATA